CACCCGCGTTAATCGGCGGATCAGGCATACTGCAAATTTTATAAATTCGATCTTAAAATATAAATCAAGAAAAGTATACACAAATAATATGAAAAATCATACACAAATAATAATCAAATAAGGTAGCACACCGTATTCAAGACGAAAAAGATGCGATAGTTGTTCGTTCGGATAGACAAATAATCTGAATACCACAAAATAAATTAACAGAAACACAAAAATGAATAACAAACACGAAAAATAGAATAAATAAATAAATAAATAAATAAATAAATAACGACAAAATAAATAAGAATAAATAAATAAATAGAAATAAATAATTTAATAAATAATAAATAAGACTGACAGATAAATAATTAACGGAATAGTGAATTGACAAAATTATCTCTTTTACTTCAATTTTGAAGGCGAACAATTATCGCAACACACAAAAATATAAGTACATTGTGACCCGTTGTTCTCGTGGGTGCACTCTAATTTTATTTTCGACACAATTACAAATCGCTTTTAAGACGATGCGTTGGGCGCCAGCCACGTTCCGTGGCAATCTTAAGGTGTAGGAAAGGGGGTAAAATTGGGGTCGCTACAGGGGATGGGACTCTGGGCACTTACGTCCTTACAATATCTCGCGGGGGAGTACGCAAGGAGGAGTATCGGGGGAAAGGAGATCTCAGGGTAGGAAGGGTTCCCAGGAAGTTCGTACACGTTACGCGTAGGAGGATCACTGCAGATGGGAATAGTAGGGGTTGGACAAGGACTTCGCAAGACGTAGAAATCTTTGTAAAATCACAACGATACGCGGACGCGAATGTGCGCGGGCGAAGGTGGCCGTTGCCAGAACTCACGCTTTACAATTAATCGAAAGGGACTCACCCAAAACTTCTCACACACTTTCTCACTCCTATAAACTTTCTCTGCCCAAAATCTCTTTAATCGCTTACTTCGCTCTATTTCGCTATGCTAGCCTAAGGCTCAATGACGGTTCGCCCTCGCTGCTGCGACGACAAGACAGCCACCGGAGACTGTTGTGGGCCGTTACTACGGTAATTTCGGATCCCTCAATGTATGGACGGAACTTTTGGGTCGTCCACACGACGGCCAGACACTCCCTTTCTGTTATGGAGTAGTTTCTCTCTGCGCGGGTGAGGGAACGGCTAGCGTAGGCTATCGGGTGCTCTTCACCGTCTACGGTTTGTACTAGAACTGCCCCGATAGCCGTATCGCTAGCGTCGGTTTGGAGGGAAAAGGGAAGGGTAAAGTCGGGACGAGCTAAGACGGGAGTTTTGGTGAGGGCATTTTTCAGGGTTTCAAACGCGGATTCTTGCTCGGGACCCCATTCCCAAGCAACATCCTTTTGTAGGAGACGGGTAAGGGGAGTTTGATCTTTGAAAACATCTTTTAAAAATCGGGAGTACCATTTGACCATTCCAAGGAAACGTCGGAGTTGTTTGAGGGTTGTGGGAGGGGGGTAGGAAAGGATGGGTTCTATTTTTTCAGGATCGGCTATCTTGCCGTCCTTATTTATTAAAAAGCCGAGGTATCGAACCTCGGAACAACAAAATTCGCTTTTGTTGCGGTTAATTTCTAAATTCGCTTCCCTCAATCGGGTTAAAACTTTCGCGAGCCATTCCAGGTGTTCTTCGTACGTCTCGGTCGCGATTACCACGTCGTCTAAGTACGCGAAAATGTGCGGCTCCCAACCGGGGGTGATTAATTTATCCATGATACGTTGGAAGGTTGCGGGGGCGTTGGTGAGGCCGTAGGGCATGCGGGTAAATTGGAAAAGGCCTCTACCGGGGACTGCAAAAGCGGTAATTTCTTTACTGGAGGGGTCAAGGGGAACTTGGAAATAGGCTTGGCTAAGGTCTAATTTGGAGATATAGCGGGCAGTTCGGAGGCTATCAAGGATACGGTCCATACTAGGGAGAGGATAGGCGTCTTTTTTAGTGACTTTGTTAACGTCACGGTAATCTATACAGAATCTATAGGAGCCGTTGGGTTTAGGAATTAGGACGGGACGACTGCACCAAGCACTAGAGGAGGGTTCAATTATGCCTGCTTGGAGCATGGAATCGACTTCTTTTTGTGCAGCCTCTAAAACACGGGGAGCCAAACGGCGAGGACGTTGTTTGATAGGAGGGTGGCCTTGAACATCAATGGAATGGGTAACGAGAGGGGTGGTTCCTAAGGTGGAGGATGGGGGTGGAATGAGGTGGTTAAGCAGGGTTCGAACTCCCGAGATTTCCTCGGGGCTTGCTTCGGAGAGCCCTACGCAAGCGGGATTCATGGGAAAGGGATGGGTTAAGGATTCGGGGTAAAAGGGGTGACAAGGTCCGTTCGCAGTCCGCCACGACCTTAGATCTCCGTCTATGGTTACTCCATTCCTAGGACTACCTCATACCCCAATGACTCGCTTGCGCGGAGGGGGAGGTTATGCATTTCGTCATCGATCTGGATCGCGACGGTGACTTCTCCGAGGATTCTCTCTGTCACATTGTTAGCCAGGATCATGCAGGCTTGGGAATGGGTTAAGTGGGATTCAAATAGTTGTGAAATTCTGGGACCTGCATAAGAATGGGTGGCGCCGGTATCTAGGAGAGCTTGAAAAAGGTATTTACCGTGTTGCAGAGGGAGGAAAATGCGATTATCGCCGGGATAGGGTTCTGTACGGGACTCTGCTGAAAGGGATTTCGTTGGAGTAGGGATAGGGGCGGTTGGAAGGATTTTTGGGAGGTTTACCACACGGGATCCGGGATGTTGGATCGGTGCTTTCGGGGAGGTTGCGTCGATCCTTACCGCCGACCTCCGTATGCGTTTCCCGACAAACAATTCGGGCATTCTGGTGCGATTACGTCAAACGCTCCGCACCGAAAACAGAATTTCCTCCTCGGCCGCTGGCAAGCGCCAAACCAATGCCCCGTTTGGCCACAATTCCAACATTGGCCGGGGGGAGAGGATTGGTTGGGTGGAACTGCGGGACGAGGAGGCCGTTGTCGGGGACCGGAAGTCGCTTGAGCGTAGGAAGTGGGACGGTTGGGGGTCGGTGCGTATGTGGATATGGGGGTTTGATATCCGGCCGGAGGTGGGATCCTGGGAAGGGACATCAAACTGGGGATTTCTGTAATCGTAAGGGGAGGAGGAGGTGTGACGGGACGATATGGGGCGGACGATCGGGATATATTGGAATCCTGAGAGGCATAAGGATTTCCTCGGGATGGCGGTGGCGCGGTAGGAGGGGCTCGTGGCCCAGGGAGCGCTTTCGGGTTCTTGGGGGTATGTTGGGAGGGGTTGTAGGTCTCGGAGGAGGATTACGAGGTTTAGGACTGTACGAGCATGGCGGGACGGTCTCAGCCGCCGCCGCCAGCTTGGATCTGTTACCTTTTGGTGGCACATACCCGCATTCGGGGATGAGCGACGTTTCTGCTGGTGGCGGTTCCCGATAATCGCGAGTGTGTCGTTGGGCCTCGTCTACCCATGCCCCTAGTTTAAGGAGGTCTCGGAAGGATCGGGGAGGATGAAAATCAACAACGTATTTGTATCGGGGGTGGAGGTTTCGCTTCGCGATGGCCAGTCGCTCGCACCCGGGGATGGGAGGTTCGGCGCGGGCAAACATCATCTGCAATTTTCGCAGGTACTCCGCCAGGGTCTCCTGTCCTCCCTGTGTACGCGTTATTATATCCCACCATAACCGGTCCTGATAATTCGTCGGTATAAATTGGAGGCGGAAATCTTCCAAGAACTCCTCGTAATTATGCCAACTTCCTGCCTGCCCGCGCGCCCAAACTCGCGCGGAACCAGTGAGGACGAAAGGGATTGCCCTCAGCATTTCGTCCTCCGTGATTCCGTTCCCGGTTACGTGCTCTGCCAAGGTTTCGAGGAACCCCTCTTCATCCTCCCCGGGAGTGCCCGCGAAGGAGATCCGCCACTTCCGAAAAAGTTCGGAAGCGCGACATTCTCCCGCCCCTCGCAGGGAACCCCGGGGCTCGCTGGCTGAGGGGTGGAAAGGGTTAGTGCGGGATAGGGAGGTTTCGGTGTGCGGTGGAGGCGGCAATGACGATCAGGGAAGAGGGAGTGGGCCATGCGGGTAGTTTGATGGATTCGGCAGGGAGTAGGTGTAATTCCGATTGTCTTGGCCTGAGACTGGAATAGGGTTAGACCATCGGGACGAGTGGGGGATTGGAGGCTCAGGGATACGGAAGGGGATACGTGTACTGCTCAAGGAGGGTGGAATAACTCCTTGGTCGTCACGATACATGTGGGAAGAATCCGAAGAACGAGAGAAGGGATTATGGGACGGGAGTTGGGGAGACTGTATTGCAGGAGGATTATCAAAGGGATTGTCTTGGGGGTTGGAGAGGGGCTGAGGTGCAAGGTTTGGTCGTTCCTCGACCGGATCCGGCGCGAACGTCACCCTGTCGCGCCGTTGGTCATTATTTTGGGTCAAGGTCAATCAGCATCGTCTGTGCAGGGGTCGGACAGGAGACGGAGGTGATGGTGGTGGTGGTGGTCGTCGGGGTGACACTTTTTTAGTTTTTTGCGTCCAACGCACGACGCTCCGTACCGTTCCATATCGCTTTCGCGAATGCTCGCTGGCGCGTCACGGCGCCCCACTCTTTTCTCTAAATTCGCCTAAACTAAACGCTGTCGCCATCGGGCGACCTATTGTGAAAATAGTTTACACCAGAGTCAATCAGCGCGATTCGCGCGAAAACGTACTTATATTATTCGACAGCTCTCCATATGAGCTGAATGCACTCGTCGGTGCATTAGTGACTTCGGATTGCAATTGCTTGTTTGACAGCTCTTCATATGAGCTGAATGCACTCGTCGGTGCATTAGTCACTTTGTATTGCAATTGCTTGTTTGACAGCAATTTATTGTGTACTTGTACATGCTCCTCCTGTTTTTATGTACGGAGGTTCTCTAATCGGCTGGTGTCGATTGAATCTACCATCTATGATTCCTGACAATATGCAGTCCTTATAAAACTTCTTCAGTTTTTACTCCATCTCTGTTGCCCAGAATGTATCATTTCTTGGTACTTTTATAATTTTCATCCCTTTCGACATACATAAACAGAATAGAGCACATTGTCTATTCGTTATATGCAACTGTCCTTGCACTTGATAATAGTAGTGATGAATTGTATTCATTTCATCACCCTGGAAAATACGCCGTATTGCAGAAAGTTGCTCTATTGTTTCAGCTGGCGATAAATCCTTCGCCGATTTAGGACATTTTACTTCGACGATGGTATCATCGTCTACGATGCCGTCAGGAGTTGCACCTAAGTAAGGCACAACGGCATCGATGAAGAGGCCACATGGTAGTATATGAATTCCTAATTCGTCTTCTACTTGCCTCAAGGCGTTTGCCTCCTTCTCCCTTCCGTATTCGAGGGAACGTAAATTCTGTATTTGCGGATACATTATACTCTTCAAAGTATTTGACCGCGGTGTATTTTTTCGTAATCTGCATATCTTGCCGAAATTTGATGCGGTTAATAATTTTCTCGTGTAAGCTATCCACTTTTCGCTTGATCGCGAGTTTTCCCTTCGATCGTGTGCCGCATCGTCTGCCACTCATGGAGTATAGCCATGTGCCTTTCATACTCGGAAGAGTATACAGTCTCTTCCATATCTGATTTTGCTGCACTGGGGCCGTAATCCTGATCGTACGATTGTTTCTAATTTCTGAAGAAGGATGCTTTCGCTTCTTTTTTATATTTCGATGCCATTTCTGCTGCACGCTTCCGACGTTCTTCCATCTTTCTTACGATGGTTGTCGGCTCTTTATTCATTGCCATACTCAATTTGCTAAAAGTCTCTTTAGTGTTAAATTGGACGACAGCAGCGGAGAGTCTAGTCTGATATGAGCCTCTTCGTCCAAAGTTTATCCTTTTTCCTCCGATGAATTTGGCAATTATATTATTAAAGCTTTCCATAGCATTATTATTTAAAGCGTACAACAAACTTTCAGCTTGAGCGAAGAGTGGCTGCATCGCTTCTTCAATGCTTTGATATATACCACCTTGCATCAATTGTGGAACATAATTTACTCTGTTCGGGTCAGAATATTTGTTACAGAAATATGCTAACTTCTGACACTCCTTGTGTTCACCGAAAACATGACTCCGTACATTTTTCATATCCTCCTTCAAATTTTATATTTGATCGACCAGTCTGATTTTTTCTTTGAACCGGTATTCTGCAGCTTTCTTTATTCCAGTACGCAACCGCAGAGCATTGTCCAGTACGACAGCTCTTAGCTCTTTGTAGCGGCCTTATGCTACGATGTCGTTTATTTTCCTACTGAAATTCCGTAGCAGGTAATTGATGCTTATAGTTATTTTTCGTATATGCACCATATACTCTTTATATGGATCATTGTTCAATATTTTCTTGAACACGCTGCTATCGCCATCGGCAAGTAATATAGAATATACTAGGCCGTGCATTTCTATGCTGCATTTGAATCCTTCGACGATAGCAGCACTTTCCATACCGGTTGAACTTTGCTGACGACCCCAGTTCTTGCGCTGTTCGACAGCGATGTTCGCGCGCTGCTTCTTTTTTTTTTGCTGCTGTTTGGCAAATCATACAAAATTTATTTTTAACGCTGATATACAGCACTTTTTTCGTACGATATCCCACGATGGCTCCTACGCCAGAAAGAGAATTGTAGTCTCCTCCGCGGTACGATCTTCTCATCCAACTGCCATCTGCGACAACTGGAATCCACGGTATATTATAGCCTACAAGCACATCGCCTCTTGCAATAGCCAATTCTTTCCTCTTTTCCACCTTCTCCCATTTCGTGTTGTGTGGCTACTTCGAAGCCATCGATTATGTCATCCTGACCTAAACCCTTTTTGTCATACAAGACGTGTTCACGCCAGAGAGTAATTCCTCCAGTTGATTATATCCACCGCCTGTAACCATTGTTGCAGAAACAGCGGCATGGTTGATGTCCATAGTGCCATCATTCTTTCGAAGACATGGAATGTGTCCTACGTAATTGCACATTCGGCACTGTACATTATACGTTTTTTGTAAGCCATACTGCTGACATTCAATTATTTCAAAATGTTCAATGCCACAGCCAATAGGTGAATGTTTTTGCAAGATTTTTTATTTCTTCGAATACATATGCAAAATCAACAAAATCTATTCCTTCTGAAATTGGTTCTTTTGGCTGTTGTTGTTCGGCTTTCTCTACCACCAAATTTATTTCTTCGTCTTCATCGGTGGTATTCAATTCATCTTCTTCTGTATAGAAATCTCCTTCTTGTACAATTTCTTCGATAATTTCCATTTCTTCAACATTTCCTACGTTTTCTTCATATATTCTCCCCGTAAGAAACTCATCTGCAGCAGATGTAGTTGTGATTGTTTCTTCGGAGGTACCTGCACAGGTACCTGCTTCCGCCGCGGTACCTTCACTTACCGTGAGGCATGCTGCCTTTTTCAACTGTTGCCTGCAAGGAAAGTGTTAGTAATCAGCACAGTATTGCCTCGAAATAAGCAACTCGCTATCCCCTCTTCTTTGTTTGAAGTCCCCCGCAAAGTGAGAGGTACGAGAAATGAGTGAGAGGTCCATGAAAGCGGGAAGCCGATGTTTAGGGTAATAAATTTCACGCTCGACTGAGCAGTGACATCGGTTAGTAGAAAAAGGATGGAATATATATATGTAATGCTTTCTCAGCCTGGTATATTTGCTTCGAAATACAGCATAGTGCGAGAATGAGAGGGCATGCTATATTCTATCCTTGTTCAAAAAATAACATCGCTGCTCGGCCGATCACTTTATGATTTGCCGCGACCTTGGATCTTTCACTCGTTTCTCGCGTTCTCTATCGTCCCGTTTCGAGAACAAAGTCAAGCCGAATAGCAACCTGCTTCGAAATAAGCAACTGTTCGGTCCCAAGCCACTTGCTTACAGTAAAACCTGGATAAATGCAACGAAAGAATACTTGGATAAGTGCAACATCGCTATCCCCTCCGCTTGGGGGGATCCCCCTAGACGAACCGAGCCGCTCGACGAAAAAACCGTGTAATATGATCCGACCGTAATATCGGTGTGACTAATACTAATTGAACGATAAAACTTTTTTATTTTTAACTTTTTCTTAATGAAACTTTTACTAACGCATTTGTGAGATTTTTCTGATTAAAATGACACCAAACATGATATAGTTTGAATTATATTTATAAGCAATAGTAATAGAATAAACAACATAGAATTGACACCACGCATGAATATAACGGCTGAATACAAAAGATGTGTACGGACACAGAATCGACACCTCGCATGGATAAATGCAACATTAAGTGCCCAGAATCGACACCTCGCTTGGATAAATGCAACATTAAATGCCCAGAATCGACACCTCGCTTGGATAAATGCAACATTAAATGCCCAGAATCGACACCTTGCCTGGATAAATGAAACCTTTGAAACCAGAGCCGACACCGCGACTGGTTTTGATTTCGATCTCTGTTGCTTTTCGCCAACCTTTAACATCAATTTTAGCAAGTAATTATAATTGAAACTATATATCGTGTTTGGTACCATTTTAGTCAGAAAAATTTAACCTATGCGCTAGTAAAAGTTTCAATAAAACAAAGTCAAAAATAAAAAAGTTTTATAGTTGAATTAGTATTAGTCACACCGATACGTTTCGGCTCTTTCCTTTCATCATCGGACCTCTGTCTTTCCGCCACTGTCTGTCCCTTCCTACGTTCACGCTTGGCTGGTTGTCGCGTGTAACTCGAGATTCGACACCTCGCTTGGATAAATGCAACCACTGGGTCCCAATCTTGGTTGCATTTATCCAGGTTTTACTGTATTTCGAGGCAATACTGCATATCCAGCCGAGGTGTCGAATCTCGGATTACACGCGACGACCAGCTAAGCATGAACGTAGAAAGGGACAGACAGTAGATTACAAAACCTTTTTATTGTAGACTTTTTTTAAATAAAATCTGTACTACCGCATTGGTGAGATTTTTCTGATTAAAATGGTACCGTGCACGATATGATTTGAATTATATTTATTTATTAAAATAATAATAAAACTGCACATTATAATATGTATTGTCATATATTGGAAAAAGATAATGGGTTGAGCTTCGTTTTAGGGGACACAAAAATATGACTGTTTTTTTTTTGACTTTAATAGTTTTTTATACGCAAAATCCAAAAATGCAATTTGTAATTGTCGAAATGCAGCGGTTTAGAAGTTACACGTATCTGAAATGAAGCGTTTTTGGCACATTTCGGAGGTTAGCATGACGCCATATTGCATTCATCCTCAATTTGTGATTTCCCCTTACCTTATTTGAAAACATACTGACTTCGAATCGCTTCAATCATCGATCCAAATAAATTTATTTTATGGTGACGACAAAACCGCCTCCACAAATATTCACATAAACGGTCTGCAAATTCATCGTCGTTAAATCGCCCTCTTCCTCTCACCCAATCTTTTGCCGGCCGCCAAGTAGATTCAATTTTTTGTGTGCGAGTTCCATCAGTACCTGCAATTATATGTTTTGCGAAATTGATATGATATTATCGAGAAATAAACGCGTTGGCGGCACCCCCTCCCCGAAATTATGTAGTCCAACCTAACTGAGTTCAAATGCACGTATAACAATAATGCAATTACATATAGTCCACATAGAATTCACACTTACTCACAAACTCGATACAGTATAGACTCGTTATAAGCTAAAAAGTTCTGTACGATATTTGCAAAGAAACCATCCCCACCACTGGGGGGTATACCCCTCGAGACGTCGCGAAGCTCGCTCGCCGAGTAGCGTAACATGATCTTGGATCAGATATCGGTGAGGCAACACTAATGCAACAACCTAACTTTGCTATTTTTCAGTTTTTTTTTATAGACCTTTTTCCATGATATTTCTGACATTTTTCTAATTAAAATGATACCAAACACGATATAATTCGGACCATATTTACCATGTAAACTAGTTACAACCAAACGCACGGGACCGGACTTTTGCCTATAACGTGTAGTTCCACTATTGTTTGATGTTAGCCGACTGCTTCGAACGTAGAAAAGGACCTTGAGTGCAAAAGAGGACGGAGCGAAAACAAACCGTTCTATGTCGAAGCAGTCGGCAAATATCAAACAATGGTGGAACTACACGTTATAAGCAAAAGTCCGGTCCCGAGCGTTTTGCTTATAACGAGTCTATACTGTACTGTGATTCACTGTTTTATGTACGAAGCCCTCTGCAGCTAGCCCCGCGTAACCTTCAAAACTTTCGGTGTGGATTTCGCTGCCCATAGCGACATGTTCTTTTATTATGGATATTAAAGTATTACCTTCACGATTTTCGACAACTATCATTCTACAATCATTTGTCTGTGTCGACAATCCCCAGAATCCAGTGTCCTTCCA